GCCCCGTTTCCGCCGTTTCCCTAGATCGTTTAAATCTTTAGTAATCCGGCCCATTCCTGGAACGTAGCAAGCGAAACTGCATCCTCTCGGGCTCGTCCGTAAACCTGCCTTCCTCCCGAGGTCACACTGAAGCCGGTCCTCACTCCGCGTTGAGGGCACCACACGGGGTGCTTAGGGTGGCGCAGGGAGCCAGGGGTGCGTCTAGGGTGCAGCGGGCGACAGGGGGGCGGAAGCGGGTGACCCTGGCCCCAGACAGACCAAAAGGTTCGGTGGCGAATTGAGGATCCGCAACCAGGGCGTCAGGCAAAGGGCAGGACTGGAGTTTCATACATACGAAGTTCTTTCTCTACATGTTTTTACCGTGGACTATTCCAAACACACGACACGCAGACCCTCAGGAAAGAATTCCCTGCACCTGTCACCTGGCTTCAGCAGCCATCGCCCCTGGTCCCTCCCGAGCCCCCACCCCTCATCACTCTGAAGCACACAGGTCCCAGACGCAGGGGTTAACAGTACAAAGCAGAGGAAATGTGGATTTGGGAAGGTCTGGCAGGTGTCTCGAGCGAACCTCCTCCTTACCCGTGAGTGAAGCTAACGATTAGGGTCAGGGATGTCCCCCAAGCCAGTACCTGGAACCCAGTTACTGGCAGACGGCTCTGCCACGTTTTCATCTTTCCGAGATGAAATAAGAAAAATAAGGGTGATGTGCAAACTTTTTAGGCGGCTAAAATTCAAATTTTAAAATTAGTGTTTGTAAACATTTTATAAACTACTATTTGTAAACATATTGAAAAAGTAACCATTCACCTTAAGCTTTGTCATTCTGTCCAATGACACTGTGTGTCGCACTGTGTGTCACACAGCCCGCAGAACAAGAGAACCGTGTTTGCTCAGTATCACTGGCTGCTTCTCACGCTGTGGCCTGGAGCCTCTGGGGTCATTCTAAGTGTGCATTGGTGACAACAAAAGAGCCCTATCTGTCTGGGACTCAGCTTACTTGTGGCTGCCAGGAAAGTCACCTTGAATGACACGTCACCTCTTTGTACCACACCTGCCTCCATCATGGGGCAAACATTGCGATGACGGTGGCCAACAGACGACACAGCAAGGCAAGAAGAGGCGGGTGACAGGAAGTCCGCAGACGGGCGCTCCCCGCATCGCGTGCAGCCTGCCAGAAGAAAACCGCGTGGTTTCATCAGAAGACAGGACAGGTCGCGGACCGACGCAGACTGTCAAAGCGGCTTCATCAGTGCGGGTCATAGTTTAAAATGCGGCAAAGTTCTTTGTAAAGAGCTTA